ACTCGGGATTTTCTCTTCTGGGTGCCGCCGCTTTAGTGAGGGTACTCAGGGCCTTCTCAGTAAGTAATATACATCGAATCACCGCTCACTGAGGACTCACTCAGAAACTTACTGAGCGTCCACTGAGCCGTCACCTCCTTCCCGGCTTACTCGCATGCCCTCTTTTTTATGCGGCCTGTTGAACGGTCCACATAGGCATTTCTCGAGTCTACTCATTCCTCGCTATATCCGGCCCCCCCTCCCCCCCCAAAAAATAGTAAAAAAAAAAAAATAAATAAAGAAGAGGAAAACCAAATGACGCGAGTAACCTTCCAGCCTAGTGTGGCGATTTCCTTGGGGTACGCAAACAAAATGTCGATGATGGATCATCGATTTGCTCGGGTAATGGCTTGCAACGAAGGTAGTATAAAGGCCAGCTACTTCCTCAGCTGGAAGAGGCCTTTTTTTTTTTTTTTTTTTTTTTTTTTTTTTTCCGTCTACAAGTTATTGCTTCTTCTGTGTATCTCTTCATATTTGGTATATAGCTTCTCTCATCCACAGTTTTACAGCGTGCCCATAAGCAAAAACGCCATGAACAACGTTTGACAAGTGGATCTAATCCAACCGCACATAGATAACAGGACTCTGAGCGTGGAAAGCATAAAGGCATTGGCGAACTCAAGCAGCCACAGGCCGGATACGTCAAAGTGTTCCAAGATTGAGTGTTGAGTGGATGCAAACAATTCTTCAGCTTACCCAATCTCACTTCAGTGTCAGATTCCTAGTGGAAGATGGACTGAAGCCGCCTGGCTTTGAGTCAAAGGAGGGCTGCCCAGCACCCGACATTGTGCTTATCAAGCAATTTATCCGTTGGTATGTCCGTTCGTCTGAAGGAATAGGAAGGCTCAGCGAGAAGAAAAGAGGGACTGTATAGACCACTCTAGCGTGTGTTGGGGGCATTCATTCCTCCGGCAAAGCATAGAATGGTTTTGCCAATTTTTCTCATGCGGCTTTTATTATTGCCAGTTATCCGAGGACGCTTCAATTCATGACAGATGCTTGAAATTGGGGAAAGCGATCGAAGGTAGGTTGCCAATCGAACTCGACTTCCGCTTCATATAGACTTACATTTCCCCTAGCCAGACACGGCTCTGCTCCTGTTTCAAAGATCTATGCACACAAAACTGACCAGACATATCCCGAACACTATCAAGCACATTGTTCATCGACTGATACGGTTGGAGACGTCCTTACTGGAAGAGAATATACTTCCCAAAAAAATAGACTACTTCCAAAGCCATCGTCAATTCCGGGAATTGGGGACTGCCTGATGCCCTAACCGCCGATGTTGAGGAAGCGATCTTAGCATCTCCCAAGTTAGTTGCAATGCGGTCTCACACCCAAGTGTTCGTTGAGAAGGGGTATTTTGACGCGGTTGAATATCAACGTCTGAAATATAAAAGGCGCTTGTTCGCCTTCGCATCCTTCGCATCTCCAAACTACACGAGTATCAGGCTCACTAGGTTGGAGAAGTTCGGTGGGCCAGCCAGGCATGTTTCAAGGCAGCAACATGCTAACGTGGACGAAACATAGCCGGCGTGGAGCACAGCCGCGAGTGCGACACTTTTCCCATCTGATGCGGTTGGTGGTTGAATCAGCTGTAGTGGTGGCTACGGCGGATGATCCGCAGTTTGGTGGTTGATTACGTCAAGATACTAACTATACTCTTACTAAGCTTGAACCCAGTGCCTAGTTTTCTCTCTCTGCTCGCAACCGCCCCCTCATAGGATGCCCCTTTCCACAAGGTATCCGTCAATGCTCGATGCGAACATTGCGAACAATCTGGCCATACCCTAATTGGCATCTACAGAACAGGCAGAATGCAGCTGTCCTGGAAGCCAGGATATTCTCTCTCCAATAGGCCCGTAAAAAGGTCAGCAGCCCGTAGGACCAATAGGGGTCGGTTGGGAAACGCAGATGGACCTCAGCAATTCGTGTTCGTTGCAGAACATCCTATGAGAGATCGTAAGACCATACATTTTCAACCAGCCATCATTTATCCACCTTACGGAGCGCCTGTTGAACCTATTACTAATTACGTTGCAAAAAGACCCCGAACCTGATGGTATTGTCCTGTCCTTTGTCTGGCTTCTAAAGACCAATAGAAAACTACGGTTCTTGGCTAACATAAAAAATTTACTCAAGTCAATATTTCCGAGGAAGCCAGCCTCTCCGTAGAGACGCCATTCAAGGTCTCGGGTGATGCATCGCCAACAACTAGAGCTGCCGATTCCCCCGGCCCCGAGACCGATTCTAGGACAGCTGAATTACAGCCGCATCGCGATAACAGTGAAGAAAACCAAGGCCAATCCTTATGTTCATCTACACCGACAGATGACGGACAGCTACAATTAGCTGACGGAGACGCCTTCTATGAATGGTCGAGTCAAGTCGCTACTACTATAGAGTCAAGTCCCATGACAGCTTCAGACTTCCCCAACACTACTACATCTATGCCACCGAGCGTACTGTACAATAGCATCTGGCAGCGGTTTGGGCCTGTCCTTCAGAGATGTTCGCTTATTCTGCTCCTATTCGCTCTTGTCAATGCCCACTAACAAGCCATAGACAATATGGAATTCTGCACGATCCCATTAACGTTCGACTTACAGATGAATCCGTTTCGATACCGCAAAACCATCGTTCCGGAACCTATGTTTCTGGTACATGCGGTGATGGCTTTAGCGGGCCATCATGTTAAGAGCCCATCAACCGATGACCATCGCTATACAGCATTGAAACTCCTCCGCGAGAGCCTCAACGCATCCGGTAATGTGGAAGATGGCTCCTCCGTGCTTGATGCGATTATGATCTTATTTTCCTTCGACGTTAGTTTGCACCTTTATCTTTGTTTTTCGGACCTATCCCAAGTTGATAACGAAGATTAGGAAACTCAATCCACCCTTGGATACTGGAATACACATCTCAAGGGAGCCTATGGCCTCATCGAAGCGTGCGGGGGCATCGAAGCATGGACCACGTCCGCTCGAGCAGACGCTCAAATAGGATTGCTGTTGTGGTATATAACCGCCCCCCGCCCCCCACCCCACCCAACCAAACTTTTTAAGCAAAATCAGCCCGGCCCTTCCAGCTAAACTATTTAGGTGGGATGCCATCACCAGTCTCTTATCCCGGGAAGACTGCGTGTTCCCGTACGCATACGTCGAAGCCATCTTATCGAACCCCGATGATCGGAAGTGGAATTTCTTTGACCTCTGCGGCTGCCCACACAGCGTGGTCACGCTGCTCATGCAGGTTGTGCGTCTGAGTGCCGAAAAGCGCCAATCGTCGTCCATGCGGTACGTGACCTTCGACACCACGATGATTGCCCAAATCGAGCAAGCGCTCGAGTCCTGGCATCACATCTCCCCTGCCGCGCTTGCCTTCGATAGTAGTGAAGAGGACATCCAAAAAGACCAAGATTGTATGCACTGCTCGGAGGCGTGGAGACACGGCCTGCTTCTCTACATTTACCGCGTTTTCCGATGGAAGCCGGGAAGTCCGATTCCGACGCATGTTGTCCGTTGGGCCCGGGTTGTTGTGGACCATGTGGTAGCGTGTCGTGACGAGAGCATGGTCGCTCGGCAAGCGTTGCTGCCGCTCTTCTTCGCGGGCTGCGAACTACGCGATCGATCGATACGGAAGAAGATCGTGCAGTTCTGCTCGGTGTGGAATGACCGGACGCGGTATCAGATGTTTGGGAGCACCATTCCATTGCTTGAAGAAATATGGGCGGAGCAGGAGGCGAAGGGATTTGAGAACGTGTGGTGGGGTCACATCGTGGATCGAAAACACACCGTGTCTTGTTATCCGTTGCAAATGCGGCTATGCTTTGGATGATTTAAACCCAAAGTCAATATGCATTGGCGGTCAGCTTTTGACAAAGGTGAATTTGGGCTGGGCTGCTGGCTTACAGAGATCCCAATTATCTTTATCAGCACGGGTCATGAGGGTAGATACTCTTTTCTTCCGGTCACGATGGCCGGGTAGTTGAGCAAGTTCCACCGGCTCCAGAACTGTGCTGTCCCATGTTTGGTGCAAGACCAAGACCAGCAGGACATAGAATCGCGTCAAATGTAGCGCCTGTAAGGCACAAAGCATCAAAAGGTAACATGTATTTTACTGGGAATAAGTGGCCCAAGGTGCGCTGCACTTCAGGAGGTTATGAACGGTCATGTGATGAGTCACATGACAATGCAATGTTAGGACCCTTACAGCATTTTCTGCCGCGGAAAGTCGGATGTGGTAGTATCTCTATTCGGCAAGTAGCCAATTTAGGTAATGATATCCATACTAGGTAGTCTATCTTGGAACATAGCATCCATGGCTCTCATTAATAGCTCCTACCCGGGGCGGCATCGTCGTAGAGAGATGCTCTAGATGCCTTAGATAGGAGGGATAGTATGGGAAGGGATATATACACGTAATTACTATATCTCCAGATGGTTACGGTGCGATCAAATGTACCCAGTTTACTCGTACGGAGTAGCATACAACCGTGCCGGGCTAAGGTATGGTCTATATCCTAACCTGCATAATGTAGTCATTGACAGTTGTCAACAAATATCAGTATCAATCATGTGCACTGATGGTAGCATTGATAAGTAAATGAATTTAGGACCTGGATACTCGAACCTTCCCCTACTGAATTAGTTCTCTTGCACATAACCAACTTTGTGACCGTCAAGACCGGTGGCTGAATCATCTGGAGCTTCCTAACTATATCGGTCATTTTGGTTGACAACTGTACTCTGTGCACTATGAGGAATCCTATTCTATCATTCTTCAACTAAAGACCTCAGTCTAGAGACTTCAGTATGGCAACATCCACTTACAATGTTCTCATCACCGGCTCCAATAGAGGTCGGGATCAGCATCGTACCATCCATATCTGCACAATGAAGCTTTAGTTTTTCTCCGCTGTCATAATCTTCCTTGGCCAAGTCAGGCCTATAGCAGCAATGGCCCCCGCTCCTTCTGTTGAACGAATCCGTGAGCTCTTCAGTCCCTGGGAGACAGGCGACGATCTAGACTTCATCGACAATTGTTCTTGCTCCGGATTGCAGATTTGTAGTGCGTGGCAGCCATCGCTACGCTGGCGTATATGACCGAGAAGGTATCAAAGCCGTGGAAATGGAAGTCTACCAAATGTTTCAGGTCCCGGAAACCATTGCGATCGCACGGATTTTTCGGGCTGCGGGAAGGACTGGGTATCCATTTCAATGGCTTCGAAGGACGGACCTCTACTGCTGAATGGTAAGCGGGCTATGTCAACTAGGTTAATATCGTCTACTGACACTTTGCACAGGAAAACCATATAACCAGACCTATCTATGGGCGACAAAGTGGGACGGGGAGCATATAGTGGAGGTTGAGGAGTATGCGGACTTCGAGTTGCTTGCAAATGCTGTTCGGGAGAACCTAGAAGAGAGAAGAGCAAGGGACGATCTCTAGTAGTGAGTCCTAGGCTGCGGCATATCTGCAAATGCGCTCCGCAAATATGCGGATCGGGGATATTGTTGAGTTCCACGAAAGATCCACGGCCACGTTAGGGTAGTAATAGAGAGACTAAGCGCGCATCCTAATCATTCCAGATATTGGTCTTTATTCTAATAGTGAGTATGCACCCTTCCTAAACCAAATGATTATCCAGATTAAACATAATCGTGCTGTGCCAGACCGTCATATAATCCCTTCTCGTGATATCCGATGAAAAGCACATTCGGATATAGACAAACTGTTCTTGGACCGGTCAAGATACCCACAGAAGCCAGGCATAGACGATCAATCCACTTTCCCGTCTTTGTCGATGGTCTCATTGTTGGGTTGATCAATCAGGCCACAAGGAGAATGTTTATGAGGAAGACTCGCAGCTCGCGAACGGGAATTTTGTATGAACCGCGTGTTTAACCTCGGCCCCCTGAATACGTGTCGTTGCCAGAGGTACCAAGCCAAGACCATATAGGCAGTAGTGATAAATATGACAACACTGGAGGACACAAGTGTCAGTTTTCTGAGCTCAACAGATCTAATGCGGCTTTGAGAAGGGAAACATCTTACCTGACCCAATTCATGTTGGCAGCAGTGACTGGCCGAATGATTGGAAAGCAAGCCACAATGTCCAGAAAACAAACCCACACACAGCTAGTGATGTTGACAAATGATCCCCATATTCCAAGATTGAAATGACGTATAGGAAGAACGCTAGAACGTCCCCTCCACACAGCAATTCCTTGTGGAATGACATACGAGGTCATCATAAAAACGATATTGGCGCTGACCATTGAAGCAAAAGCAGTACTTGATCGCAAAAAGATTAATCCGTAGAGCTAACGAAGTTAGCTTCAATGCTTTGATATACATTATGTACCTTTACCGTAGCGAAAATTGCCGTCAGACAGGCAGCATTCATAGGCATTTTGTGCTTGGGGTGGACCTCTGCTAGCCATGTTGATAAAGGATAGCAATTGTCCCTGGATGCGGCCCAGATTTGACGACTTGAACCTGTGATATTGGCGGCTGCGCACCCAAAGAGGCATATTGCAAAAGCTGCCAAGAGTAAAATAGTCGTGAATTCGCTTTCCGTAGCTTGGAGATAAATCTCGACCAAGCTGATCTCGCTTGGAGGATTGACAACTCTTTCAATGTCAGTTATCACATACATACATGCAACCGCAAAGGGCCATGCTGTAGATGTTAGAATTGCATATCAAAAGCCACCACTACGATATGGGGTACCTTACTAGTGACCAGCCCGATAATTACTGGATATATCTTTTGACTGTCAGCACAGAAGTACAGGTAATGATGCAGGTAACATGGAAAACTTACCATGACCTTGGGTGCATTGATGGACGGAGAAGGGATCTCTTCGGCCATATGAGCACCAGCATCGGTACCCATAAAGCCGTAAGTATTATTCAATAAGCATAAAACAAAGAGAAAGCTTTTGTCATATGACGTGTTGAAACTTGTTGTATCTGTAAAAACCCATACGCTGGACTGGTAATTTGGAGCGGCGCATACAAGGATGACCAGGATAGTGATGAGGAGTGTTGATACCGAAAAGTAAACTTGAATCATTTGAAACACGGTTAGCAAATAGTTGACACTGGGGATAATCCTTCTACCCACGAAGATATTGATTAAGTGCTGGGAGGAACCGTGTGGCATATATGTTGAGTAAGGCAGCTAGCCAGATGATTGCAACATAGCAAAACCACTGATGCGAAGGGCAGAGAGTGTACTCTTTAACACAAATCTGCAATATAGCCAATATTGTGGCCGCAACAAAGTTGCATACGCTAGCGAGACCTAGCCACCAGCCGCACGTACTGATACAAGCCGACCTATCCACGTCAGGCAGAATGATCGAGTAGAACACGGCACAACAATCGATTGCGCTTACATGTATGACGCAAAAGGTGCCCATTCTGGACTCGCAACTTTGTACGACCAATAATATTGTGCTCCAGAGTTTGGAAAAGCCGAAACGAGCTCCGCCATTCCTAGTGAAACAACGAAATTCATTAGAGCAGCGATGACCAGAGTCCATATAGTTCCCGATGAGGAGGATTGGGCCAAGCTAGCTCCGATAGCACTCCCGAATCCATTCCACGTAGCTGTCAGCGCAAAGCCTAGCGAGAAAAGTGACAATAGTGAAAACCGCCTGGGCATTGCCGGTGCATACCCCTGGGCTTCGAGTTCACGATCGTCGACGTCGATCTGTTCGTACATTGCGATCTAACGAGGAATAAGTGATAGGGATCAGGTGTCGTAAACAACTAAAGATTAGGACTGGATCCGATCCGCTACTGCGAGCTGACCAAGCTCTAGGACGAAACTTTTGTGTTGTTGCGAAAACCCAGGTCACGATTCACACATGTGAAGGCGGTGTGGGCGACAAAGGTGCAGTAGTCATCACCAGGGGGGGGGGGGGGGCACTGGAAATTACCAAACGATAACATGATTTGGGGTGACGTATTTAGGGAATCAAGCATTCTAGGTTGATTGTACTTTGAAGGTGAGAGACTATCTATGAGTGGAGTCAGGGTCAGGGGACTTACTTGCACGCTAAGTCAAATAGGGCCATTACCCGATCAGGATTGGTTTCCCAAAATGGTTAGGCTGGATTATCCGTGGATACCCTATTCCAAGGTCTTCCGCCAGGAATTTCTATAGTGATAGTAGGCTTGAATAGTTTCTTCACACAGAACAAGCTGCACTCCATGCGGCTTATTCTTCGTCAATACTACCTATGTTTTTTGAGATTAGTGTCTTACAATTCTATTTAAAGCATTTCTCCAGTGGAAAGACGTATAATCACATGCCATGTCTGGCCAAGTAATCCTTTCAAATCATGCAAGTAGACCCGTTTATATCTAGTTAGTGAATTGATACTTTTCCCGGCTGGGTAAAAGGTACAGGGTTTAATTAAAGAACTGAAATGAGCCAAGCTGCTGGATAGAGTAAGGCTGTTAACACGGAATAATGCAGTGTCTGCATCAGAGAGTTCATGAAATTCATATAGAGAAAGCGGAGACGCAATGAGTAAGAACATCTCTGCAAGCACACTGGCAATTGACTGTCAGTCCCTTGCGAGAAATAGTTGAACAGCTAAAACAATATGTCTTCGAATATGCTTTCAAGTTGGATCGAGGGTCATAAGCTCCAAGCACCAACCATGCAGGATGCGCCGGCATTCTTTCGAAACATCGAAGAGAAACTCGACGTTCGAAGGGCCAATCATTCCTTTTGGAGTGATACCTGGAAAGATAGGGATGCACTGGACTTCTCCTCCAATGACACTCTTTCTTTAGGTACTAGTGGCGTCCTGCGCACCTAGTTCCTTGAAGAACTTTCCCGCCATCCTGCGGTAGATTTTGCCTCTGGAGGAGCCCGCTCACTACCCGACGGAAGGTATATCTATCTAGAGAAAGTCGAGCAGGAAATTGCAGGCTTCCACGGTGCTGAATGTGGCCTCATTCTTGGATCAGGGTTTGAAGCCAATGTGGCCATTTACACATCTATACCACAGGCGGGCGATATTATCCTCTACGATGAATTGGTTCACGCCAGTGTCCACGATGGGATGCAAAAAGGCCGTGCAGACAAGATCTCCTTTCACCACAACAATGTTGAGTCATTTCGAGAGGCGTTACTGTCAGCCTTGGGCCAGCCATTGATACAAGAAAAGGAGCGGTCGGTGTTCGTTGCTGTAGAGTCTGTGTACAGTATGGAAGGAGACATATGCCCGCTGAAAGAACTGTTCGAAGCTGCGAAGGATGTTCTAGACAACGTCTACTTCTTTGTCGATGAAGCACACGGTACAGGCGTCATAGGCCCGAACGGTTCTGGACTCGTTAATGCTCTTGGGCTTGAGAAAGAAGTCGCTGTCCGGCTGCATACGTTTAGCAAAGTGTTAGGTGCCAATGGAGGTAAATTACCACTGTCCAATATATCATCCAATTGCGACTGACTCTGCCTTTAGCAATAGTGCTCGGCAAAAAGACAATCCGAGATGCACTTATTACCCTAGCTCGGCCAGTCTTCTTCTCTACTGCGCCGTCATTTCCGTTTGTGGCTCTAATCCGAAGCGGTTACAAGCTTTTGATATCTGGAGAAACGAAAACTGTAAGTTTTGTGTGGCTTACGGCTACAGCAATGTTGAGGCTCATTTGTATCCAGCGCCAGGACCATGTCCAGCATCTCGTCAAGATGTTCTTCAAAAAGATCACATCAAATCCAGCGTACCAAAAAGCTGTCGAAATGGGCATCCTCTCAGTGCCTCTTACCGAAGGCTGGAACGAATGATCATTTGTCACTCCGATTGTTCCTATATGGACACAAGCAGGGTATCTGTACTGGCTGTTCAGTCATTTAGCGCTTGCCAAGATCTGTGCCTTTCCAGTCCAGCATCCAACCGTGCCAAAGAAGCATCCACGAGTAAGGCTTGTTTTCCATGCTAATTACACCGAATATTAGGTAGAACGTGTTGCCTTCGTGGTGTGTGAGTGGGCTCAAGAAATGATCCACATTAAGCAGATCAAAGACGGAGCAGAAAGATTACCCCGGGCCGCTCAAGAACTGTATTACTCGACGAAAGCTGTACATGCGAAACTATGAAGAGCACTTTACAGATAGGTACATGTTGATTGCTGGTAATAGATTTTATGAGGTTGAACATAGGTACTGCAAAGCGCTCTCAAAGGAGGATATTCCCATAACATGAATCTTTTTAGTTAACAGGCCCCTTATTTGTTATGGACTCGCGTTAAAGGCTGTTCTCCCTTACGCGCAGAAGGCAACTTGCCTCCAGGTTTTGAATAGAACTCCCGTGATATCGCCGTGAAAATCGCTCACAGGCATATGCTTATGCCCGTTGCACTGATGGATGTAATTTCACCCCTGGGCCGCATCGAAAACGGCGTACATTGCCCTTTCCGCTTTGCCCCCTGGTGCTTGAGCTGCTGGCACACGTCCCTTAAACCACATTCTATAGAAAGTACTCGCCCATTTCCAGCCAAGCCTTTCGAAAATGGGGATGGCAGCGGGGTTCGCGTGCCATGTCTCCGCAATCAAGCTTGCACCCTTGTCTTCCAGGCTCTCTATAGCAGCATGCACAAGCAGGCTCGCAACATCTTGTCGCTCCGCATAAAGAGGACCGAATTGATATCCAAGTTCGCACTTTCGAATAAGAACCCAGCCCGTAAGGGTTCCGTGTTGATCCACGACTGCAAGGCCGTTTGCATCTTGACATGCCGACATTTGAGATGGGTTCATCACGTTCACATACTACCAAGCCACCGGCTGAATACTAAAATGCTTGTCAAACATGTTCGTCGGATCGTACTGCGCCTTGAGCTTTTGAAGTTTCGTCAGATTGGTGCCGAACACGTCGCCGGCCTTTTCATCATAATCTGTGTTTAAGGTCAGCAATTTCCTGGGATACTAAAAACAAAGAATGCTGCCTAGTCGGTCTAGGGATAGAAAACTTCGACTTACACTCAAGATTTCCGTACATCATCAAAGGGTCGGAGTCTGACTTGTTGCTAGCCTTCTCATCTCTTTTCAGTTCCGCTTTGAAGATGGCAGCAATATCGCGGGCCCATTGCCTGCACCTTACGTCGTGTTCAGTGGAGTGCCAGAATACCTTCGCGGCTGCATTGAAGTGATAGCCGCGATTGTGGAAAGCCATATCTGTGTTAGATGCCTTGGTGGCCACAACGGTTGGATCAAATAGGTCGAATTGCAGTACACTCCTCGCAGAGTAACGGACACTTTCTGTAAAATCTTCATATGACTCGAGGAGCCTTTGCACGAATTCTTCGCGGATGGGTAGGTTGAAAGCGCAGCAGTTCATGGTCCCGCGCATGCCTTTTTTGAATTGGAAGATGTTATTGATCCCTGGATAGTCCATCATCTTCATATCTTCCACAATTGGACCTAGATCAAAAAGTTCCTTAAGAGCAATATCGCCGGACTTTTTGTCGTTTAGCCATACCACCGGGACAATTACGAGAACGGGACCTCCCTCCGGAGGCGATCTTGCGAGAGCGAATCCTCCTGCCCCGGCACCTCCTTTCAATGTGCCCTGTGCGCCGAACAACCTATTGAGCACCGCGATGACCTGATTTAGCTGTGATACAGGGAAGACCAAAGTACCCGCGTAGGCCTGTCCACCCTCTGCGCCGGCGATGCGTTTCGATACCGGGCCTGTGCCATAAGCATGACCCTGGTACGTGAATGATACTGCGACACCAAAGTTGTGTCCTGCTCCCGAAAGAGCCCAGAACAATTGTGCATTCTGTTCTTCACTCACGGTCAAGAGCTTCCCATCTGCTGTCACGAGCCCCACGGCGATCAGGTTGTCAATCGTGAGACCTAATTTCCCGCTCAACCACCCATACCCGCCCCAAGAGTCAAGCCGCCGATCCCGGTGTCGCTGACTGTGCCGCCAACTGTCGCCAGGCCCGTAGCAAACCCCGCTTCATCGACGTGACCCCAATTAGCTCCGACCCCTGCTATCAAATGATTTTTCGTCTTATCCACCTTAACTTGCGTGAACCGCGTTGAGGAACCGAGGTCGATGAGGAGGCCACCATCGGTGGAGCTCGACCCGGCAGTGGAATGACCACCACCTCGGACCGCCAGGTCGATAGACTTCTGTGCGGCATAATTGACGGCTATGAAGATGGCGTCTATACTTTCTGGTATGAGGACAGCTCCTGCAGGCTTCACCGCCGCCATGGACCACCGCTCGATACACCTTGCGTACTTAGCTGGGTCTGACTCCCTGGTGATTAATTGGTGTCCCGTAGATGAGAGTCGGGAATTCAGTTCCTGCAGAGCCAATGGCGAGAGCTTGTTCTCGGCAGCCATCCTAGTTCAATTTCTCATTGACTTCATGTTTTATCCATGCCTAGTATCGTGATGATCGAACGATTCCGTAGGAAAGGACAAAAGGAACACGATTGAAGACCAGAATCACCGCGATCGTGGAGATGAACGACACTTCGCCGCCTATCTTCCCGAATATTTTAACTTACGAGGTTGCACAGACTACAGACTGTCGTTTCTTCAAATTATCACCGAGCGATTGCAGGGGGACAAGGGACCGACCTGGACTCACTTCAGGCGCATTTCCCGTTCCGGATTCCTGCCATTTTGAGTGACCCATTGCCATTTCAGGTATACTGCCATAAAGAATTGCACATCCTTCTTCTACCTTGCTAGTATTAGTAGGTCTCCTGCATTTGGGAAACCCCTAAGCCGCCTTGGCTCGCAGTAGTAGGGTTGTATCGGCGTTGTTGACGGCCGCGTAGTCCCTGTTCGGGATTGACATGGACTAAGCCTTCGGTGGTGGGTCATACGCGTTGATGGCCCCACCGGGCTTCCCGTCCGATAAGGCGAAGAGGACATTGGCCGGTAGCATACATGCCCGCAGTGACTGATATAGCAGGAGTGAACAACATGGGAGTCGTATGTTTCATATTATCTCAGCTTGTAGCAATATTGGTCTTGGTCAGCGCTTCGAGCACCTTAGCCATTCCATATCTTCTTTGAAAACGGTATCAGACGGTAGCGCTTTGAGTTGCGACTACAGTGAACTAGTAATTCATAAGGTTGTGGGGCCTCTGATTGGCTATATAGTTCAAGGGACCGGCTTTGTCAAGACATCGTTGTCTATTTTTCGCTACAGTAGAACTAATATGGTCATAGTAGTTTTAGGTGTGGATATAGGCGAATGAATAAAGGCTCCAGTCAGATAGATGTGAATGTAAGAAGACTCCAACAATCATAGCATAATAGACAGCCTATGTGTATGTTGCTAGAAAAACCTGTAGCCCAGTACAACTTTACGTGATTATCAACATGTCATAGTTCTCACCATGTATCAGATCTCGAATAAGAAGGTAAGGTCAGACAGATGAGTGGAGAACATTGTGTGACAGCCGAAGCCAGGAATCAGTTCATTCCTAGCGTTCAGCGTACAAAGACACAGAAGTAGAGGCAATATTGCTGTGAATGACTCTGACCAAATAACTCAACTCTCCCCACTCAGGCCCCAAATTCCTCGTCATAAGCCACCAGGCAGGATCGGTAGCGGACACTGCTAGTTTCTAGCTGCTCGATCGCTGTTTGAATACCTTGTTTAGATATGGGGATCTCTTTTACCCATGACCTGGTACCCTTGGTGGCCGCCAAGTCCAGCATTTCCAGAACCTCGCGCCGACCCCCGAGGTTTGAGGCGCCGATGGAGCAGCCGTTCCCGATGAAGTCAAAGGTAGATATCTTGAGGCCGTCGCCGCCGGGCACGCCCACCAAGTGGAAGCGTCCGTGAACGCCCAGAAGGCTGAGGTATTGCGATAGCGGAAAGTCTTGGAAGGAGCTTGCCGTGCTAATGATCAGGTCAAATGTCATTTCATGCGGCTGACACCAGCCCTCCTCGTTCGTGGCGAGGAAGCCATCGGCGCCCATTTGTCTCGCGTCGGCCTCCTTGTTGCGTGACCGGGAAATAGCCCACACTTCGGCACCAAGTGCTTTTGCAAACATGATGGCGTAATGGCCAAGGCCGCCGATACCCACTACACCAACCTTGGTGCCAGGTCCTGCGCCGAAGCGTTTTAGTGGACTGTACACGGTGACACCTGCACACATCATGGGGGCAGCATCACTATTAGCCAAGCTATCCGGAATCGGGAATACCCTTGACAGAAAGCGAGAACAACCACAAGTCAGCGACCAAGGGATATCCCGGGCAGAGTCTTCGGATTATGGGAACTCACCAGTATTCATGAATTCGAGTGTGGGATGAGTATCCACCCTGGGTCGTGCAATCCGTCCCTGGATACGCCGCTCCATAGGCGTTGACCTGTTCTTTGCAGTACGTTTCATTGCCGTTCTTGCAGTGGCGGCAGTCCAAACAGGAGTAAACCTGGGCCCCAACCCCGACTCGCTGGCCCACCTTTGCGAGGGTTACTTTTGGGCCTACGCGGAGAACCCTCCCAATGACCTCGTGGCCGACAGCGAAAGGATAGGGCATCTCGCCCCAATCACCACGAGCAGTGTGCACGTCACTAGCGCACACCCCGCAGCACTCTATCTTGATATCGACATCGTAATCTCCAAAAGGTCGAGGCTCCCAAGTACTTTTCTCAAAATCTAGCCACTTTTCAGCGCTCGGGACCTGGAACCCAGTAAACTCCTTGGGATAAGACATAGAGGAGGCAAGAGCGAGATGGCTTTCTGCACCAAGATAATTGAGTTTGAAGTCGAATGAGGGTCAAGAAGGCTCGTAGTACGAGAATGAGTAGACAATTGGTACGGAACACGACTTCGCCCAGTGCAGAAAAGGTCCATGGCTTTATATCTTATCCGCCTCCCCTCCTCTGTGTACTTCTGCCGCTGCATCAGATCAAACCACGCAACTTCCATTTCCACCGATCCCGACCCTTTCCGACAACTTGATAGCAGATTGACGCGGGGTAAGACGTTAATTACGTCAGTGTTCTGGCTTGCTAGACTCTGGGACCCGGATGAAGTTTCACATGGTAAATCTAAGAAGAGGGGTGGACGGAAGTAAACCAGCAACAAATAGAATCATGTTACATCGGGGCTGGTAGTGTATAGCAAAGCCGTCTGATCTGCAACGCCTGTCTCGGAAACCGTACAGTGACCCACTGAGAAAAGATTGCGTGCAGTGGTCCATGGGTAGAGGGGTTATGATTTAGTGACATGGAAACAGAACATCTGGTCCAGCTCTCGACGTCCGATCTGTTCACTTATCTCCAGCACCAGCTATTCGCCGACCATCAAGAGGCGTACGCTGATGTACGTATCCTACGTGTCTATGTCTAAGAATCTAAAAGTGATCAATGAGAACTGTCAAATATATGCTGAAGATGATTTGACCACTACCATGAAGTTTTCTAAATTATCGGGATAAAGGAACAATGGCTCAAAAGCTACAAAGGACTATAACGGGGCCAAAGAGAAGTCTGTCAACCTGCATGTAGGTATCAACTACTAGTAACTCCTTCAGAGCGCCCAGATCATTGCTATTCTCGGTGGACCCACTACGGGTTTTCCGTACTTGGCTTATTGCATAATTCAGATCTACTTCCACTTGGAACTAGACTATGCACCAGAAATCTTGCTTCCAGACAGGAAATTCTAATTCGTCCACCTCTTCCGAGGCTCATGCATGTCAACCAGAGCTGTCCTTTATCTACATTCCACTGTGGCACCGGAATAGTCCTGATCATCGTGGTGGTCCGGCCCGGATAGCACTGTATGTTGCATCATCTACGTAGTACTACTGCAGGCGAGGGAAGTAATCGTAAGATTTCAGTGGGGAATGAGAAATTCCCTCACTGATAGCAAGGAACGAAGCATAGGGACGCATGGTCTGGTTCTCAACCAACCAGGATCCGTTATTTATTAGTGGATTGATGCCCTTGCTCTCGTCTCAATAAAAGTACATGTGCTAGCTCTGTTACCTCCCAAAAGCCTTTTGTGAGTGGCCACTATTCCCTGTTTGTACTTGTGGCAATATATGGTCTATACCTTTTGTCTATACCTCGAATGGGGCATCGTTCAAAAGCACGGAGTATATCGCCGTTTTATACACCCGTGGCGGGATGTTTCGCTTCAACTAGTCTCTTCCTCATCCCTGCAATGTAGCATGAGTCTGGCACATTGTAGGCCGGTATAGAATGGGATTCTCGCTACCCACCGTCGGGGAAGCGCTTCGAGCAAAGACGTGATGACATGCTTGTTGGAAATGAATCCAAGGCGATTTACATGTGAATAGACTTGGCCTATAGATGCTATATAAAGTCGCCTTTGCGATCTCTACCAGTCCAACCGGCACCAAGAAATTCCTCGTTAACAGATTTCAAGACTGATCGAATCACTCTATTATTTTCTCTTTCTATTAGCAAATATGGGGGATATGGACGGTACGATCTCAAACGAGGATTATCTGACACTTATTGAGCAATTCAACGCCACCGAAGATGCCACGACGTTAGGGTTTTGCCTCCCCGAACTGTTTGAAAAGGTTGCGGAGCGATATCCCAACAACATTGCGGTGATCTATGGCGATACTAAACTAGCCTACGGGACACTCAATCGACTTGCAAATCAGCTGGCCCGCATCTTGGTGGAGGAGCGAGGGGTCGGCCGTGGGGATGTGGTCGGTGTGGCCCTTGACCGGTCCATTGACCTGATTGTCGCAGTGTTGGCGGTGGTCAAGGCTGGGGCTGCGTACGTGCCGATTGATCCGGCCTTTCCTGCGGACAGGGTGACGCACATGGTGAATGATGCCGGTCCGAAGCTTGTCGTTGTTAGTGATAGCACCGTCACGGCACTGTCGCCGTGGCGGGATATCTGCCTCAGTATTGACACGGTACGGGGCAACATGAAGCAGGTTGACAGCAGCAACCTAACCACCCAAAATGTGCGGCCAGAAAACCTCGCATACGTCATCTATACATCCGGGTCGACGGGACGCCCTAAGGGGGTGGAGGCGAACCATGGAGCACTGTGCAATCTCTTGCTCTCGATGCAGAAGGAACCGGGATGCGCCCCGGGGGATCGACTGTTGGCAGTAGCTACCATCTCCTTCGACATGTCCATCCTGGACCTACTCCTACCACTGGCGAGTGGTGCGGCAACGGTGATCGCCCCGACAGAGGCTCTTCGAGACCCCGGAGCACTACTCAAGTTGATGGAGCGCCATTCGGTAACCATGATTCAGGCGACCCCTTCTTTTTGGCAGATGCTGCTGGACGGTGGCTGGAAGGGTCAACCCCGGCTAGTCAAGATCTTGACGGCCGGCGAACCCATCTCGCGTCGACTACTCGACCGCTTGCTGGCCTACGGGGATATGGTGTGGAATGGGTATGGCCCAACCGAGGCCACCGTGTACGCAAGCGTGGGCAGGGTGAGCCAAGACGAACAAGACATCGTCATCGGACATCCCATCGCAAATTTCCAGCTGTACGTTCTGAATCCGAAGGATCTGACACCCATGCCGATCAGTGGGCTGGGTGAGGTATACATCGGCGGTTGCGGCGTGAACTGCGGGTACCGCAACAAGCCGGGCATGACCAAGGAACGATTCCTTGACAACAATCCTTTTCACCCTGGACGGTTATACCGTACTGGCGATCTGGCCCGGTTCCTCGCTCCAGGCAAGCTCAAGCTCGTAGGCCGTATTGACAGCCAGGTTAAAGTTCGGGGATACCGCATCGAGCTTGAAGATATCTCAGCAGCCATCACAGAGCATGAGGAGGTCTCAGCGGCTGTGGTGGTCACTAGGGATGACCAGCTTATCGCGTACTTTATGCGCAACAATGGCAACCACCAGAAACCCCTAGACCACGTCTTACGGGCGTGGCTAGCCCAGCGCCGGCCGGCCTACATGATGCCCGCCTTCTTCGTCGAAATGGATACCTTTCCAATGACACTGAATGGGAAGATCGACCGAAAGGCGCTCCCAGATCCTACGAAGAGGGTTAGAGCCAGCACCGCACAACCCCAAACAGAGCTGGAGCGTCGCGTGCTGGCCGTTTGGTCGCAAGTCTTGGGCCATACCGGCATTGGGATCAACGACAATTTCTTCGACGTTGGGGGCAACTCCGTTCGTCTTCCACGTGTCAAGGCGGGGTTGGAAGAGCTCATGGGCCGACCAGTGCAGATGGCAAAGCTCTTCGAGTACTACACCATCAAGTCTCTGGCGGCATACCTCGAGCGTAGCCAAGAGGAGGGTCATATCACCACCAGCGCGAGGCCTCCATTTGATCCTACGCTGCGGGGAGAGGCACAGCAACAAAGCTCCAGCGACCATCCTAGTTCTAGCTGGAACAATGAACACATCGCAATCATTTCAATGGCATGCCGGTTCCCCGGGGGCATCACCAGCCCAGAGGAGTTCTGGGAGCTGCTTGAGACAGGCAACGATGTGATAACCGAGGTACCTCAGGACCGCTGGGATGCCGATGCGCTGTACGATGCCGACCCAGCCGCGCCGGGCAAGTCACACTGCCGACGTGGGGGGTTCATCCGGGACGGTGTGGGCTCTTTTGACGCCCCCTTCTTCGCCATATCCCCACGAGAAGCCCGCACACTAGATCCGACGCAGAACGTGATGCTGGAAACATGCTGGGAAGGTTTGGAGCGAGGTGGGTACACCATGGAACAGCTCCGCGGGAGCCTGACGGGTGTGTTCATCGGCCATAGCCAAGCGGCCGCTCACAGCGTCGGTCGAGACCTCGCTGATTTGGATGGATATGCAGTCACCGGCTCCATCGGCGCCACTCTCTCGGGCCGGGCATCATATGTCCTGGGACTGGAGGGACCATCACTGACGGTGGACACGGCATGCTCCTCCTCCCTAGTCAGTACGCACCTGGCTTGTACATCATTGCGACAGGGGGGATGCGATATGGCAGTGGCAGGCGGGGTGACTCTGATGCTTTCCCCAGGGCTCATGGTAGAATTCACCCGGTTAGGGGGCATCTCGCCTGATGGCTCCTGCCATGCGTTCTCGGCAGACTCACAAGGTACCGGCTTTAGTGAAGGCTCCGCTGTTGTTGTGTTGAAGCGACTATCCGATGCTCAGCGTGACGGCGACACTATTCAGGCCGTGTTACGCGGCAGCGCTATCAATCATGGCGGACGCCGTGCTGCCAGCCTCACAACGCCGAGTGGCGCTGCCCAGGTGCATCTCATCCAATCCGCCCTCGGAGCATCCGGGCTGACACCGAGTGACATTGACTACATTGAAGCTCATGGCACGGCCACCAAGCTGGGCGACCCCATAGAAGGCACCGCGCTGGCGGAAGTATTTTCCAATCGGTCCCTGTCCCTAGAACCACTATGGGTTGGGTCGGCGAAGTCAAATCTTGGCCACACCCAGGCATCCGCCGGCCTGGCGAGCTTGTTGAAGGTCGTGTTGGCCATGCAACACCGCTTGATTCCAAAGACCTTACATGTCACGGAACCAACGCCATTGGTGGACTGGCACAAAGCTAACATGGCACTGGTGCTGGAGAATCAGCCATGGCCGTCTACCCACACGCGACGCGCGGGCGTGAGCTCTTTCGGCATTGGCGGTACCAACGCACATATCATCGTCGAGGAAGCACCGCCCTCACCATCCACCGTCAGCGTACACAGCAATGCTCGACCATCACCATCTATGGTATCTTTCGTAGTGTCGGGGCAAAACAATGCAGCCCTGCACCAGCAAGTTAAGAAGCTTCACCGACACTTTCAAAATGCTATTCCTACGAATGGCAGCGACTATCTAGGGGACGTGGCTTACTCGCTGGCGGTCAAACGCACCCACTTCCGCCGACGATTAGCATTCATTGCCAACGACAAGGCGGACCTGCTAAAAAAACTGGCCTCTTGCGCAGACGCTCAGATGGGCGAGCTGCAGCCTCCTGCCGGCGTCATCCACAGCACCAAGATGGAATACGCTGATCGGGGATTGCACCTAGCCATGTTGTTTACCGGCCAAGGGAGTCAGCGGCTGGGTATGGGCAAAAGACTCTATCAGGTCTATCCCACCTTTCGCAAGGCCCTGGAAGAAGTCGTGGCATACTTCCCCAGCCTTGAAACCCCTCTCTTGGAAGTGATGTGGGCCGAACACCAGAGCGATGCCGCCAAATTACTCGACCGCACCGACTATGCGCAGCCCGCTATATTCTCCGTGGAGGTGGCACTATGGCGGCTATGGCAGAGCTGGGGTGTCCATCCACAAGTAGTACTAGGCCATAGCGTGGGAGAGCTGGCGGCGGTCCACGTTGCGGGGGTTTTAGATCTTTCCGATGCATGTCGGTTAGTGGCTGCCCGTGGCCATTTAATGCAAGCCCTGGCCTGTATTCGAAGGGGGAGTATGGTGTCGCTGGAGGCTACTGGGGAGAAAACGACAGCGGCAATGTCCTTTCTCCACGTACAGGACAGGGTTGACATCGCTGGCTACAACACGCCGATGCAGACAGTCGTATCTGGCGACAAACAGGCCATCGAGGTCGTGGCGGCACATTTCGCTGGAAAGCTTGGCCGTAAGGTGAAGATGCTCGACGTGTCGCAAGCCTTCCACTCATCGCACATGGACGATATGCTGCCACTCTTCCGGGCCGTGGTGAAAACGCTGCAATTCAGCCGACCTAAGCTGCCCGTGATCAGCAGTCTGACTGGCCTACTGGCTGAAGAAGGACAACTGGAACAACCCGAATATTGGGTCCAGCAGGCAAGGCAGGCGGTTCGCTTCAGTGATAGCATTCAAACAATTTACCACCAGCATGGTATCGACATATTCCTGGAGCTCGGTCCGCATCCCGTGCTGTTAGGCCTCACAGCAGCATGTCTTACGAGTCATCAATGTCATGGTGATGACGATGACAACGCATCGCCTCTCCTTTTGCCTTCTCTCAGAACGGGTAAGGAAGATGATATCTCGGTCGTGCGACGCAGTCTTGCCGAGTTGCACGTGAGGAATGTGCCCATTGACTGGCTCGCATACTTCAAGCCATGGCGTTGTCAATCGGTAACGTTGCCAACCTATGCCTTCCAGCGTGATCGCTGGTTCAGACAGCCGCGGGCGATGTCTGTTGGCCTCAACGGCAACGACGTGGTAGGCAACGACCAGGCTGACGGGCCTCCCTCCAGCGGGGACACTGACCGTTTTCAATTCGAGGTCGTCTGGCACCCATTCAACAAGGAGAATGTACAGCTGGAGGACAGTAGCCGCTCGTGGGGTCTGATTTGCCCGGCTGGTAATGGAAAGTGGGCATCAACTGTCACAAGGGCCTTATCCCAGGCCGGGATACGGTTAACTCGGGTGCAGCGACTTGAAGAGGCGCAGCAGCTAGATGGGCTGCTATGTCTATGGGACACATCGACCCCCACAGACATTCCACGCCAGGCCTCTCAACACACCACACAAGCGCTCACCCAGCTCCAGATGGCAGCGACAACCAGCTTTTCGCTGCCACTAGTTTGGGTCACCTGGCAAGCAGTAGGAACTGGCGGCTACGACGCTGATCCTGGTCAGATGAACGGGCTGGGTACCGGGCCTCTGTGGGGTTTGATGCGCACCGCTCGCAATGAGCATCCAGACCTTCGCCTGCGTCTCATCGACCTAGATGAGGAAAAGGGGTCACCAGAGGCCCTCCTCCTCGCGCTGACGCTGTCAGAAGAACCGGAATGCGCTGTACGACAAGGACAGGTATTAATGCCTCGGCTACAGCAAGTGAAGGAGCTGAAGCCAATTGTCGAGCAGCAGCAACATTTTCTGCGCCAGGATGGTGCTGTGTTGATCACAGGCGGCCTCGGAGGCATCGGCAAGCGTGTGGCTAGGTGGCTAGCCACCACCCACCACGTTCACGACTTGGTGTTGATATCTCGTCGCGGCATGGAAGACTCCGGTGCTGCATCATTTGTGGCCGAGCTGTCGCAATTCAACAGCAGAGCTACTGTGATCGCCTGTGATGTAGCGGATTTCGAAAGCCTAAAGTTAGTTATGGCCATGTTCAGTGTGCAGAGACCATTGCGCGGGGTGATTCACGCGGCCGGCGTGGTGGATAACGGCATTCTCTCAGCCATGACACCGCAGCGATGTGCCACAACATCTGCACCGAAGGTGGATGGCGCTTGCAATCTTCATTGTTTGACTCAAGGCATGGATCTAGACGTGTTTATGATGTTCTCGTCAATCGCGGGGGTTCTGGGCATGCCTGGTCTAGGGAACTACGCAGCCGCAAACGCCTTTCTTGATGCCCTAGCTCATCAACGTCGCGCCCAGAACCTGCCGGCCACCTCAGTGGCATACGGAGTCTGGGAGGGAGAGGGCATGGCGGCTGGGCTAACGGGTAGGACGACATTGACTCACCTTGCCAAATTCGGTCTCGATCCGTTGAAACCCGAAGAGGGCCTGAAGTTATTGGAGCAGGCCATTCGCGGTGGCCGGGCGCTCACCGTGGCCGCGGCCCTTGACCCAGAACGACTCCGGATTTACCTGAAGAATGAGCATGCAGAGAGGGGCGACATACCATCGTTCTATAGCAAGCTGTTAAGTGAACAGGAAAGGAACGGAAGCTGTAACGAGCCGAGAAACAGCGGGCGAGCTGGGAACCTGCGCACGGAGTTGAGCAAAGCGCCTGCGGGGCAGCACGAAGCCATTGTGCTGGCCATGGTTCGAGAAACAGTAGCCAAAGCACTAGGATTCACGTCAGCTGGCCAGGTGGATGTCGATATACCCTTACAGGATATCGGTTTTGATTCATTAACGGCCGTTCTGTTGCGCAACCGGTTGTCCGCGCTGACTAGCCTCAAAACTCTGTCGGCTGGGAGCATCACATGGCAGTATCCAAACCTGAGATCCCTTAGCTACTTCCTGCTGTCTCAGATACAGTCAGAGACACAAGCACAGAGCAAGCAAAGCTGCTCGGTATTGGATCATACTCGGAAGCAGTCGGTAAACAGCACAATGTATACCATGGAAGCGGCCCGGAAAGGTCATCTCGATCCTGATATTGCCTTTGATAATATAGAAGAAGTTCAACGTCCAAGGTCTGTCTTCGTCACAGGTGCTACTGGCTTTGTCGGTGCTTTCATTCTGCGCGAGCTCCTCGAGTTGGGTATTGCCGCCCACTGTTTGGTACGTGCCGAGGGCGTCAAACACGGCCAGCAGCGGTTGGTAGAGTCGCTCGCCAGCTACGACCTCTGGAAGCACGACTATGCGCCACTACTCAACCCAGTTGTTGGCGATGCAGCAAAGCCTTTGTTTGGTTTGACCAACGTGGCTTTTGATGACCTGGCCAACCGTGTCGATGCTATTTGCCATTCAGGCGCCCTAGTCGACTGGTTGCGGCCCCTGAATGATTATATCGGCCCTAACGTCATCAGCACGCATGAGGTCTTGCGCCTAGCCTCGCGTGGCCGTGGAAAGGCAGTCCATGTTATAAGTACTCTCGCGACCTTGCCCATGCATGTGGGCTATGATGTTCCCGAGCACGATCGAGAATACGGTTACTCCACCTCCAAATACATTGCAGAGCGCATGGTGGCCGCGGCACGATGGCGCGGAGCCAGGGCCTCTGTGTACCGTGTGCCCTTTGTCGCTGCCTCGGCCGCGACCGGTCACTTCCGAGTCGACCGGGGCGATTTTTTACACAACTTGATTGCTGGGAGCATCCAGATGGGAAGTTTCCCCTCCGTGGACGCCGATCTTTCGGTTGTGCAACCCGTCGATTACCTGAGCAAAACCGTTGTTGCCATCATGGTCCACGACCGGTCCCGGATTGGACACGACTTCGATTTTGTCAACAAGCATGCGGTGAGCTGCAACCATTTCTTCCAGCTCATGGGTGGTGATGACGCGGGTACGCTCCTATCCTTCCACGAATGGCAGCTAAGAGCATTGGCGTACGCTGCCGCACATCCGAAGAGCGCATTGGCCCGCATTGGTACCATAATTGACGGCCTCGCCGATGAAAGTGCCCTTGCTGCGATGCTCAAGGGCCTACCTACCGGTGAGCACGTACTGGGCGGCGACGTCTATCCCGCACCACTGGTCGATGAACAACTGGCCCGTCATTATCGAGACCGGATTGATATGTTCAATTCCGATGGGCCAATCTCAAGGTTGGAGCCGGGAAAGATGGAGTGAGATTAACTTACTATACATAGCCTACATACGCTGTTTAGCCAGCATACCTGACATGGACAATCGAGCATATCTATTGTGTATACTTGAATCAGGTTCTTTCACATCCGGAAGTGTTGAAAAGTTACAGTAAGACTGTGATTATGGAACAAATTGTCCCAGGAGATATGACCGTATGAATTATTCCATGCAATGTAAATCATAAAATGTTAATCCGATTATATACTAGTTGGTCATTTCCTTCTACCACCTTCAGAAACATAATCTTATTCGACTTCTTAGCACTTTCCTATTTATATAATTATTTCTTTTTTTTTCTATTTACCTATCATCCGGGTCATAAGTCTTAACCTACTTTACTTTCTATGTATTATAGCTATCTGCTATTCAGCCTATTCTCTGTATAACCACTCTCTGTATATTGGTATTCTATATATAATAGTATAAATCAACTGGAAGTCTTGCTATATGTAGCAGTATTTTATATATGATATAGTACATTTTTAGTCTCTATCTCTTCTAGAAGTGGTTTGCTTGCTTAGATTTACTAGATGACTCTATACTTATTAACTTTAACCTGAAATTAAGAATGGTTAATAATTACCCAAATAGCCTACTAGTTTTAGCCTGATCTTAGTTATGCAGCTGAAAGAAATCTTAAGCAATCTTGAATCTTGGATTGACCACCGGTTAACAGTCAGGCTACGGTTAAGGTATAATGGTCAGGTATAGCCGCTCTAATTTATTTAGCTGTACAAATATAATAGTTGACAAGCTAGCTCCCCTTGATTAAAAATACTATGTATATATATATTCATTGACCAGTTCCGACCAACAGTAGCCAGTTTGGTCCGAAAACTGTCTATATCATAGGAATTGTTGGAGAATTCACGCAATCAAAATGATCATACACCTAAGAGGGGGCGCTGCGCAGAGCACAGCACCTGTAGGCCCTGATTGTCTATACACCTGCGGCCGCGGCATTGACGCTTCTCCGCTCTACAGTGGCCTCCTGCATGAAAGGGCTATAAGATCTGATCTCTTTTCCCCATTGGAGGACCACAAAAGGAGTTGCCACCAGGGCCAAAGACACAAATGCAAGCAGCGAGCTGGCCCACTGAAACCCAATATTTGTGTACAAGGCTGCTGCGGCCAAAGGGACAAAGGCAATAGAGATGTTCTCGACGAAACCCACTGCCCCGAGGGCGCTCGCAGCATACTTGCTGTACGCGTCGATGAGATAGTTAGCGTTGCCAACGATGACCGCCGTCGTCCCAAATCCTACCATCGCCAGGCCGACGGTGGGTGCCATCCAGTGTATGGAAGTGTACGATGTCCACCCATACACGAACATGCCGCCCGTGACACCAAAGAGTCCACCAATGATCGATGCATGAAGTCGAGCCTCCGGGATCGGCGTGCCCGGTGCCTCGGTATTGCGGGTCGCGGATGCATAGTACCAGGGATCGGTTAAGATGCAAAATCCACCGCCCAGAAGTTCCCCGATCACAATCGCAACTTGGACATACCCACACTGGATAGAATCCCAATTATATAGCTCCTTGTATACTTGCTCGACCGATTGCGTAAAAAGATAGATTGTTCCCAAGCTGAAGGCAGCCCACACCGTCGCAACGAACACGACCCCTTCAGTACATAGCATGTACAGAGGGCGTTGAACGCTCTGTAGGATAAGCTGAGGCAATGCTCCCCGATCAATCTTCTCAGTCGCGTATGCGTTCGCCCCCTCGCGGCGCAGTCGTTTGGCCTCAGCGCGCAAGATCGCCGGCCCGCGGCTCTCTGGCAGACCGAAGATCAGAACCGGAAATAGGGCAGCGGTCCAGATCAGTTCGATGTACCCAATCCAGCGCCATGACAAGAATTGCAGGATGGCAGAGCCAACCACCGGGCCCAGACTTGTTGCTCCCAGATAGATGGTCACGTACAGACAAATTGGGACACTCCGGGCTCGATCGCCGTGAAAGACATTCGATGAAATACCGGCAACGGCGTCGCTTATCAGCGGAACACATCCTCCGCTGAAGAATCGAACCACAATCAGGGTAGCAAAGTTTGGTGCCAGCCCTACAGGAATTAAAAAAGAAATAAAGCAAAAATAGGTGGTGAGAAGGACAGGTCGAACGCCAAAGTCCTCCATCACAGGAAACAGAAGAAGCGGGCACAGCGCGGCCCCGATACCCCAAGATGTTGTTAGCCAGTAAGTATTGGGGAACGTCGCATCGGAGATGTGAAATTCGTCCCCAATGGCCGTGTGAGCCACCGTTAGGATGGTCCCATTCATCGAGCAGACAAAGCTCGCAAGCAAGCCAATGCCCGTGGCTTGCCATTTCTTAGAAAGGGGCCAGTTGTATGGATCATTGGGGTCATCCTCTCCGTTCCACGTGACAATCACGCTCTCTTGAGCAGAGCTTGGGCCTGTGTGTCATTATGAGTGAGTGGATTGGTCTCAGTTATTGAGTTCAAGGGCATATGCATACTAACCTTCAGTATGAGGGCGTGATGCGGGGTGCGAATCGATTTCGAGCTCGTCTAGTGTGATCGGTACGTTTCCAAGATCGGCTCTAGAGCCATCTGCTTTTGGTGCAATCTGTTGCTGCGAACAATCCGGGGATGGCATCACAGCAGAGATGGTGGCGCGCGTCAAGCTCTCCTGGCGCGAGAAGGAGGTCCCCCAAAGATGTCCAGCTCCGTATAGCAGTGATATATTTGGTCGTTGTGGTATTAATCAGGGCAAGGTGGTGTGGGAAGTAGTAGTCTGAAGCATGAATAGTTCAGAAATAAATATGAGCGTGTCTTGCGGTATTCCATTTTCTCATTGTATAATTAGTTGAGATTAACTGAGACTAACTGATTACATACCTACATATGTGTAGGTATGTCGGTAGGTAGTTAGTTGTGCAGTTTAGAAATCCCACTAGTCCTAAGGAGGCAATTATACCAAATAGGTAGGAGGCCCAACTAGGAAATCGGGCTGTATATGGAGGATCTGCAACTTGGCCACCAGCCTCTCGTTAAACTCATAGAATCATATGTAGATTGCTTGTCAACCTTAAAGCTTCCACAAATCATATTTCGATTTATACAAGTCCAATGTGTAATGTCATCTCTGAATCGACATAATCATCCTCGCGGAACCCAAGAGTCTTGGCGTAGGTAGACAGCCAGTATGCCCGGCCCCCAGGCAGACTTCCATATAACTTCTGAGTGTGCGCTGCCAGCAGCATGTTGTCGATCTTCCTTAAATGACCGCCTTTGGTGCAGGGCTACCACCCGTGCTCCCACTGAGCTCGAACCTTTTCGCGGATATGTCCCGACATCCATTGGAGACGAAGCGGCGATGTTCGTCAGGGACGCTCTCATGAAGATCCGGGCTTGTGCTGTCTTTCGACGGAGAAAGCCCAGAAAGATGTTGGCCATGTTGGTGTAGCGCGATAATACAGCATTTCCTCCTTGGGAAAAGGTCGTGGGCATCAGAAGGAAAAATAGCTTCCCTGATTCGTCATTTTATGATGGCAGTGCTGGGATTTTTTGGGAGTGTGGCGGGCAAAAGAGAAGTCGGAGTGGAGAAATGGGCAAGGGGGGAGACTGCTAGTTGGGTACAGTTTATTGAGGTTACTCAGGGCATTCAGTCTTCCGCTCACCCCGTGCTCAGTGATCGCCTCAGGTTGCTCAGAGCGTGCTCAGGTCCACTCAGTGAGCAAAAGCGGCTGGTGGTGAGCACTAAAACGGAAAGGGGAAGCTGTCGACCTGGCTAGAAAATTAAGTACGTATGTAGATGAGGATATTACCGGGACGGATAAGTAAAGCTAATAAACTACTCGATGGGTTACGCTTCAAATATTACATGGGGAAAGCAAAGATAATATCCATTTAGCTATACAGGGGCCACGAAAAGAAGAGAATAGTTGCGCTAGTCACATAAAGGCAATCATTAATATGGTGAGGTATTGTCAAATAATTTTCTTTTTGGGGAGAGAGTTAAGAAGAGAAGAGAAAATCCAAGCCAAATTGAATCAACTCATTTTTTCCAAAAGACAGTCATCACTGAAATACACCCCATGCAACCGATTCCAGTATACAACCTAGTTTACCGGCGACGATAGATCAACCCAGAGAAGACGTTAAGGTAACCTTCCTTGGTGAGGAGTGTGAAATCCACGACCACGTGACCATGCGGTTGCGCGGCCGATGCCATGTTTGGTGATGTGGCATTCAGGTTGTGTTCAGAGATGGCGGGGGGCGGAGAGGAGGCGTTGGCGGCTACTTGGCCTTCCGCACCGACAGCCAGGTCAGCGAGGTGTTGGAGGGAGCGCTGTTCGTTCGGGCCCATCACAGGCGGAGCTGCAGAGCCGCTTTTTCCGAGGCTGGGGTCATGGAGCTGGGTCTCCTGAGCTTTGGTTCGTCTCCATTCCAGGAAGACGCGGATCTTCGAGTCCCAACCGGGGGTGCCAAAGATGTCGCCGTATTCACCGGACTCGGCGGAGCGTTTGGAGCGGTAATCGAGAATTTCTTCGAGCTTTTTAAGCGCCTCCCAGCATTGGTTCGAGTATTCGGGAAGCACAGTAGCCTCGAGAAGAGTCATGGACGCCAGCGCAAGACTATGCAGGTCGAATGGTGTCGCCAGTCGGGACTGCATACTGGCCTTGTGCAACTCGTTCATAACCTCTTCTGCGGCGTAAATAATTTCGTAGGGACTGTGAACGAATATATGCCGCTTGATCAGGAGGCGACTGGTCCAGTACAGCTGGTTTTGTAGACTTTCAAAGAAGCCATAAGATGTGCCATCCTCGGGATTCTCGTGCGGTTTGCGGAAGTCTGCTACCTCGGCCAGACGCTCGAGACCTGCGACCATGTTCGCTCCGACCAGACGGCCGAGCCCTGTGTTGGTCTGGCATACGTTGTGCTCTTGAGCGACGAGAGTGACCATGTCGATAAGGATCGTAGAGTACGATGCAATCCCTGCGGTGGCTGAGCCGAGGACTCTCTCGTCCTCGCGGCCACCGATTTCGAACGTTCCCAAAACACTATAATCAGCAACGCTAATTGCATACCAGCGAGACAGAAGGGCCAGAGAGACCCAGCTGCGCCTTACAAGGTTTGCGTCAGAGTCAACGTCTGGATCAGACGATCGCTTGGTTCTCAGCTGTCCGAAGGCTTTCGCCATATCCGAGCCGAGCTTTGTCGCAGATTGAATGAGAGTGTGCTTGGGCACTCCATCCTTCATCACGAAGTTGTCTGGGCCCCTCGAGTCACAGTCAACAATCATGAGG